GGTTTCTGGGTTCGTCATCCCGACACCCTTTGAAGCCCGACAGCCATAAACTTCTGTAGATCCCCAAGTCCTAATTATTGCCCGAATCAAGCAATCCTGAACACCGCTCTCATAGTCAGGATTCCCGCTATCTTTAAGAACAGCACCTCTCCCCTAGGTCCCCGCTAGCTTCGTGTCAACCCAAAAGCATGGGCCCCAAGCCACTGCAAAGATTTTCTACCGGCAGTCTCCATTGTAGTTCCTTGTTTGTGATATGGGAGTTTGAGAAAATTAGGGTACCTGATTTGGGGTCCTTTAAATAGGGATCCCACTATTTAGGGTGCTATATTAGGGTCCCCTCTTTTTGGAACCTCCCATATAACCGATTATATATGTAACGGTAAGCCAAAACAGGATATGGAGACTCTGGAGGTAGGCCCCTCAGTCATCACGCTCCCTCCTGATATCCAGTAGCAGGAGCAGGGGCATCCTTGTTTGGTTTGGGGCGTGTTGCACCTAGCTCCCTATCCTGGGCTCTTGTTAAGTTGTTAAGGATCTAATTAATTGAAGTTACCACAAAAGAGATCTTTAGTAAATGATCTGGTTTCTGTATTATGGTAACTTAACTTAGCCCCTTTACCAGAACCCATTCCAATGCCAAGTAAGATGCTAAGCATGCGATTTGGGGCATGGGCGTTCAGAATAATACTCCCGTGTCCCAGTACAATGTGCAAACTGCATGCGAGCAGGCCGTCTACTTCGCTGGGAAGCCCGAAGGCACGGATGGTGTTCACGGTAGATCCCCAAAAGTTCGAAACCTAATAGCCGCGATCCTTATCCCAGCACTAGTTGGCCTTAATCCGGTTTCAAACTTTATGGGGTTTACTGTAGGGCTCCGGGCTTTAGGGCCGAAACCTTTAAAAACCCCGGAAAGCTTAAAGCTGCGGCAAGGCATCCCAAACTATAAATCAACCCTACAACCTCAACTTTATGGAAAGCCCTAAACCCTAAAAGCCCCAAACCCCAAACCTGAAACCCTAAATCCCGAACCTATCCCGAGCCCGAAGCTGCAAGGCAAGCCGTGGCTCAAAACCTAGCCTAAAGCCTTAGCTAGCTTAGACCTTAAACACTAAACCCGAATTCCTGAAACCCTAAACCCCTTAACCCAAAAGCCCCTGTCTGGTTCTTAGTAGGCATAGGGGTACGGAGACTATTATAGGGGAGTATATAGGGAGCACTATAGGGATCCATTCCCCCATTCCCTACTAAAACCCCGAAAGCTGCAAGGCAAGCCGGGGCTGGGCAAAAGCCCAGACCCAGGCGCCTACAAGGCGAACTACGCGCAGGTGCGTGTGGCGACTCATCGGTTTTGGGGTCGTTGACGGGTTTAGGGCTTATAGGGGTTTAGGGTTTCGGGGTTCAGTCGTTTAGGTGTTTAATTAGGGATTTGGGGCTTAGGGGTTTAGGGTTTATCGGGGTTCAGGGCTTTAGGGTTTAGGGGTTTAGGGTTTGGGGCTTTGGGGGTTCCAGGGGCTTCACAACCGGTTCCAGAGGAGGTTCTACAAGGGGTTCTAGTAGCATATTGGGTGTTGGGCTGAGGAGTTTAGGGGTTAGGGTTTCGGCTTTAGGGTTTTATGGGTTCATGTTATCAGAGTCCACAAACGCTAGGCCTCTGAGCTCTGAACCCGTAGGCACTCGCACCCGTAAAGCCTCCGAAGCCCTTCAAACCTAAACTCTACACCCGAGACCCCTAAACCCTAATCCCTGAAAGACCGTAAAGCCCTTAAAGCCTTCAACTCGAGCCTTAAATCTAAGTTGCCTTAAAACCCTGCCCTAAACACCAAACCCTAAAGCCCCTAGAGCCTAAACCAGCGCACCAAACGCCTTATGGTAAAACCCTTTCAGGAGCCCTTGCTCTGAGCCTTTGCTCTGATTAAGAACCCTGAACTCTGAACCCTAAACCCCTTCTGGGCACCCTTGAAAGGCACCCTTAGAGGGAACTCCAGAAAGTTGGAATATGTTTTCAGGGTAGGATACCCTATAATTTACCATAGAATGGTTAGGATAATCATATTCCAACTTTCTGGCTTTTGCCTTAGAGCCCTGAAAGCCTTCAGCGCGAGCTTCGTCCAGGTGTACAAAACCGACCCCGTGCCTTTCTTCGGCTCCGAATCCAGGCAGAGAGAGGGGGGTTTTGTTAGGTTTTAGGGGTTAAGGTGAGGGTGTAGGGCTTAGAAGGTTTCTTATGGGTTTACAGGGTTTATAAAGACAGAGAGAGAGAGAGAGAGAGAGAGAGAGAGAGAAATAGAGAGAGAGAGAGAGGGCTGCTTTTTGTCGGGCACTAGGGCTTTAGGACTTAGGGCTCAGCTGACTGGGTTTGTCGGATCAAAGCAGAGAGAGCTTTTTAGTCGGGTTTAGGGCCCTTAGGGTTTGGGATTGCAGAGAAAGGGCCTTTGTTAGGGCTTTAGGGCTGTAGGATTCAGGGGTTGTAGAGTTGAAGAACAGGGCTACATGGTATAGGGTTGAAAAGCGCACAGGGTTTAGGGTTTAGGATTCGGGGCTTTCGGCTTACAGGGCTCACAGGGCTTAAAGGGTTTACAGGGCTTCTGGGGTTAATGGGGTGTACTGGGTTCTTGTTAAGGAATTTAGGAGGGATTTATAGCAAATAACATGGTTTCTTTATTATGATAACTCAATCTAAATCCCTTAACAAGAACCCAGTTTTAGGGATCTTGGACTTGGGGCTAGGGGGCTCGTAGGTTCCCAAAATCAGGTCCTTAAGGAGGAGTCCTATAATGCACACGAACCCCTAAGCCGCCTCCCAAAGACCCTCAACCCTAACCTACGCAAAACTGGGTTTAAGGAGTTTAGTTTAAGTTATCATAATCGGGATCTTTAGCAAATAATATGGTTTATTCATTATGGTAGTTTAAATTCAGCGCCTCAAGAAGAACCCAGCAATATTCCCATGAAGGAACCCCTACATAGACCCTTTGAAGGAACCCCCTCAAAGGACCCTTTAAGGAAGCTCTAAACTCTAAACTCCCAACCCGAAAGGAACCTTAAACCCTACACCTCCTCCAAAAAACCCTGTAAAAGTATCCTTAAAATATCCTTATAGTAGCCCTTGCAGAGCCCTTAAAGGATACCTTAAAGGAAGCCCCTTGAAAGAGCCTTAAAGGCTCCATTAAAGGCAGCCCTTAAAGGATCCCTGAAAAAGGATCCCTTTAAAGGACGCCTTAAAGGGACGCCTTAAAGGATCCCTTAAAGGCAGCCCTTAAAGGATCCCCTTAAAGGAGCCCCTTAAAGGCCCTTAAAGGAAGCCTGAAAGGATCCCTGTAAAGGGCCTCTTCAACAAGAGCCCTTCAAGGATTTCTTAAACGAACCCCTCTAGAGCCCTTTTAAGGAGCCCTTTAACAAGAGCCCAGAAAATGCAGGGAGAAGGCGCTCCTCAAGGCAGGCAACGACGCCCCCGGGCGGGGGGGCTCAGAAGAGACAGGGTTTGGGGATGGTTTTAGGGTTTTAGGGTTTTAGGGTTTAGGGGTGTGCGGTTTAGGGATGGGTTTTAGGGTTTGGGGTTTAGGGTTTAGGATTTTTGGGTTTAGGGTTTAGGGTTTAGGGACGGCTTTAGGGTTTTTGGGTCTGGGGTTTAGGGCTGGGTCTGGGGTTTTGGGTTTACGGTTTTGGAATTTTAGGGTTGAGGGCTGGTTTTCTCACGTTAAGGGTTTTTGGGTTTAGATTTTCAGGCTGGTTTTGACGTTTAGGGCTTTTTTGGGTTTAGGATTAAGGGCTGAATTTCTCGTTTAGGGTTTTTGGTTTAGGTTTGGGGTCTACTGTAGGGGTTCGCAGTTTAGGGGTTATAGAGTCTGGTCTGTATTGTCGTTCCGTTGTTGGGTTGAGCCATTTTGTGTTTAGGGTCAATAATCGCGTAGCCAAAAGGAACTGCAATAGAGACTGTAGGTACGTAACCTAAAGTAGGCACTACAGGGTCTAGGAGGGGGGTAGATGGTTTAGGGTTTAGGTGTTCTCGGGTTTAGCTTGTTTGTATGGCCTAGAGTTGATTGTAAGAGGGGTAATCGTAAGGCTCATTTGGGCACGGGGTTTTGTAGGTAGAGTGACACGGACAGTGTGTTACGGCAGTTCTACATCTATATCTATCTATCTATCTATCATATCTATCTATCTATCTGTCTATATATGTAGGGGTCTCAGAGCTATATCGGCAGGAAGAGAGAGCCAGAGAGAGATGTCCGGTGGTTGGCTTAAGTGTTTTCCGGCTTACAGCAATGTCGCCCAAACCCTAAACCATTAAGAATCAAATTTGTATTGGCAGGGGTTAGGATGCTAAGGGTTGGGGGTTGAGGCTTACGGATTGTAAGGTCGAGGGTTTCTTGGTGAGGGGCTCAGATCTTGTATTGTAGCTACCGGTACTGGTGCTGACAGTGTTATGGACAGGTTAGTATTTACGGGAGTATCCTATGGCTTTGGGGTTTAGGTTTAGGGTGGGAGCATGGTTGTGCGGAAGCCTCAATTCAAAAACCGAGCCACATCTTTAAATTTTAAACTGATCAGCAACCCAAACTATGAGCTCGACCTGAGCAGGTGTCGGTGTTTGGGGTTTAGGAACCCAATTTAAGCTCACCCTATAACCCCCAAACCCTCAACCTTAAAGCCCTAAAGCCCTAAAGTCCTAAAGCCCTAAAGCCCTAAAAGGTTCAGCTGCACCATCATCTCTCAGTCCTCACTCTTCGCGCCATGGTCTTGCACACACCCTTAAGGACGAAATGAACCCTAAAAGGGTTTAAGGTTTGTGAAACTAACCTGTTTTGCAGCGCGTACAGTGTGTGTACCTAGCGTTTGTACAGCTTTCAGACGTTCCCCTCTACCGCAGGGGCCCCTTGGACCAAGCCTACGGCTTAGCGGAAAAGTGACTAGTCTTCGCACTGGTAGCGGAGCTCTCGGTTAAGAGAACCAGAGCTCGTAGCCCAATAGTACGCCCCCTGCGCGGGCGTGTGGTCGCCATGGCTAGTGGATCGCTGGCATATCGACCACACCAGGATCTGGACACAGACCTGACGAAATTTGGCTTCCTAGTCTATGCTGGAACCGTTCGTGACTTTCACGAATGGGAGTTCCGAGCTATGACAAGGTGGAAGCAGACCAAGGTTGAGGAGAGATCCGACCTTGCGTCCAAGTTCCTCGACTCCTTAAGGAGCGAGGCATACATCGTCGCAGAGGATTTGGGTACTGACGTTTTGTTCTTGAGTCAAAACATCCCCAAGGTGATCGAGGCGGTTAGAGAACGCCTGTTCCCTCTGGCGGAACAAGAGACGAAGGAACTTTATCGGTTAGGAACCCAAGTCGGCGGCATGTTGTCACGACAGCCGGGAGAGCCGATGATCTCCTACATCGACCGCCGCAAGCGGTGGCTACGCAAGCTTCAGCAATTAGACAAGGCCCTTCACATAAGTGAAGCGGTGCTGACGGATCTATTGCTGGATAACAGCGGGCTCACCCGGCAAGAACGACTCATGGTGCTGACCTCGATGTCAGGCAGCACAGCGACGAAGGATGCTGAGGCATCGCTGATCCGCATGCATAATCGTATCCATACGTTGGAACGAAAGCAGCCCTCCGCCAGGGGCGGAACTGGCAAAGGGAAAGGTTTTCCCAGGAAGGGAGACCGAGGAAAAGGTAAAGGATACGGTAAGAGATCCCAGAAAGGGACTGCTTACACGTACCTTTCGGCCGTGGAAGACCTCTTCGAGTACCCCGACGCCGACGAGGACGAAGACGGAACAGCCTACCTGGCAGGCCAAGAGGACCAGGACGGCCAAGACGGTGAAGGGCAGGACTGGGCGTATCACGGCGAAGAACTCCCCGTGTACGACAGAGAAGAAGACACCGCGTGTGTTGCCCAGTCGGCCGACGCTTCCCTCAGGGACGTCGAGCTTGACGTCTTCACCGCCTTTATAGGCGCTGGGTTTGACGAGGAGGACAAAGAGGCTTTGGCGTTTCTCGGGCAGACGCCGTGCAATGCGAGACCGTTGCCTTTATGGCACGGGCCAAGGCTAAAGGTAAAGGAAAGTCCGTGATGCAGAAGAGTGCACATGGATACCGGCCGCGATCTACCGGTCTCACTGTTGAAGACAGGAGACGGAAGCTCCATGAGATTAAGCTCAGGAGCACCTGCAAAACGTGTGGCAGGAAGGGCCACTGGGCGGGTGACAAGGAATGCCCAGGCCCAGGGAAAGGAGCAGGAAAGCCTGCAGTGGCACACCTTGCCCAGGTTAGGCGTGTGATGGATAAGTCCACACAGACCTGCGACTTTAGCGCTAGCCCCAGCGAGAGCGACAGCGAGAGTCACAGCTTTGACCCAGAGCCAACAGCGAACTACGTTAGCTTGGGTCAGGACTCTGAGACGGAGCCTGCGGCGTACATGGGTTTCTTCGACAAGACCGACTTTGAAGAGTCTGACGAAGAGCTCCTGGACGACTTTGCGTCGCAAGGCGCCCCCTCCACGGAATGGGATACCATAGAGTACCCTGATGGCAGCGACCAGGTGTTTCGGTTCGGGATGCACAAGGGTTGCACCTACCTTGAGGTTTTGCAAAACCACCCCGATTACTACCATTGGGGCCTCAAGGAGAAAGAGCCGAGCACCATGCTAGAAGCATGGCTTATCTGGGTGTATCGCAACTTTGAGGTTCCACCGGTCGGCGGTGGAAGCTACACTCAGGGCGGCTACGTTGCCGGTGGAGGCCGACTCGCTGCAGAAGGCTAGGAAGGAGGTGACCCTTGAGAAGGCACCTAAGAGCAAGCTCGGGTTGTTGAAGGCGGATCCTAAAGGACCGTGTGTTGGCGGCTGTCCCGCATACGCTCTGAACAAAGCCGGTAGCAACGCGCATGTAATCAAGACTACATGCATGTTGTGCGGTAACAGGACCTCAAACCCGAGACCAAAGGCTGTACCGAAGAATGATCCCCTCACGTGCGAGCACAAGAGCACAGACAACAGGAACAGCACGAGATCGGTACACCGCACCTTTTGTCTTGATTGTTGCACTGTGGTAGAAGAAATCCCGCAGAAGCTCTTTAAGGAGCAGAAGGGACTCGCCGAGCAGGTGCAGCAGTCCCCACTCAAGGTGCAGAACCTCACGAGGAGACAGCTGGAGGAGTACAACTTTACGAAGTTTGAGGCAGGTGAGGTGGTTAAGAAGTTCTTCAAGCACATGGACAAGTTTTTGTTGAAAGTTGACCAAGTCAGTTCAACCGAGTTGTCTAGTTGCCTTGAGGATGCAATGGACCAGGTTGTAGAGCAAACGAAGTTACGCATGCAACATGGTAGGGCAGCTGACGTAGCTAGGTCTAGTCAGGAAGTAGAGCCCCCACCTTTGCCTGCGTTTTCCCCCGTGCGTAGAGAGCGTAGGAGTGCACAGCCTCGTGAGCAAGCGTCGCCCGCCGCAGCAGCAGCTGGCCCGAGAGAGAGAGGCGCAGCTGTTAGAGACGCCATGGCGGCGTCGCCTCCCAGCGGAAAGGGCTGGGGAAGCCGAGAAAAGTTCGCCGGCGTGGCGACGGTGGACAAGAAAGGTGATCCTGGAGAGGACACCAAGCTGACGCTCACCGCTCTGGTGGGGCAGCTGCAGAAGGATGATCTCGAAGGAGACATCAGCCCGAAGAGCGTGCAGAGCTCAGACAGTGAGCCTGCACCCCTGGACGAGGAGATTGCTGAGCCCCATCTCCAGCTCGTGGATCCCTTAGAGGACCACGAAAACGTCTGGGTGATGCTGGACGAGGGCTGCAACCAGACGTGCCACGGGACAAAGTGGAGGGCTCACTCCTCAAAGGTCCTGGCGAAGTTTGGGTTGCAGTTCACCAGCGTGCGCTCGAGCGGCACGAGCTTCAAGGGCATTGGAGCGGCTCGAGCGACGGGCAAGTTCGCAATGCCGTTCGCCCTCCGCATCATGCCGGAGAGCGGAGGCCTTCGCCGGAGCACCCGTCTGCAAGGAGAGCTCTCCAGCGTGGAGCTGGACTCTCCGGACGTGCTCTGCCTCCTGTCCTTGCAGGATCAGGTTCAGCTTGGCCTGATCAAGGACCTGAGGCGCGGCGAGTGCCGAATCTCGGGGTACTCCGGGACACTGCAGTTGGCGAGGCACTCGAAGACCGGCCTCCTCCTCCTGTGCGTGAGCCAGTTTGGGGCGAACGTCACAGAGAGGCACAGAAAGTTTGCGGTGAAACCGGAGGTGATCCCTAAGAGGACATCCAAGAAGGAGAAGAGCACTTTCTCGATCCCTTTGAGGGACGGGACCTCACGCAGGGACGAACCCTTGATCCCTTCAAGGGACAAGGACAGCACGGCGTACATGCTGTCCGAGATGGTGAAGGAGACCGAAGGGCAGCGGAAGAACGTTCTGGTGGTCACGTTGGGCTTGGAAAAGCTAGAGTCCTGCCAACGTGGACGCGGCACCTACCGTGGACTCACGGAACTCTTTCGGAGTATGCGGAAGGGGCAGTCGCACGAGTTCTCGCTGAACAACGAGACCCACGAGGACACGCTTCTGGAAAGCCTGCGCCAGAACTTTGAGTCCTTCCGGGACTACGCCACGGAGCAGATCCTCTTCCTGGACTGCCGGCACATGAACGACCCGGGCAAGGACAAGTCCCTCAGGGACCACTTAGGCACGTACCCCAAGAACGTGCAAGCCATGGTTTTGGACCCGAAGACGAATGGCAAATGGGTGGCGTTCATGAAGGAGGTCGTGCCGGCCGTGCACAAGCTCATCCAGGAGAACGAGCAGTGCGTGATTTTTATGTTTTGCAAATCGGGTAGGCACAGGTCTGTCTCGAATGCAAAGATCTTCTACGATCTCATAAAGGAGACGTATGAAGTGGAAGCGAAGCTACTTCATCTTTGCGACGGCTACAACTGGCGATATCTATGCGGTGGTTGCGAGGAGTGCAACTGGGAGTCCAAGGAGGCTCGAGGCACCGCAGAGCAGAGAAGGTGATGGACTTCGCAAGGGAGCGCTGGTTCGAATTCGTGCCCAAGGTGTGGGTGCGAAAGGATGGCCAGCGCCGCTTAGGCGACGATGGCGTCGTGGTGGAAGAGCCGATCCCTTTGGGGACAGCTCAGGCAGCGGGCGCGGGATCAAGCAGTGAACCGCCGCAGCCTGACTCGGCTGTCAAGCAAGAGGCCGCTCAAGGCGAGCAGCCCGGAGACGAGGACCACGACGAGGACGACACCGCTGGGGCAGTCGAGGCCAGTGCCAGCTCGAAGGCACAGGCGCAGCCCTTCACGGTGGACACCCCTGACGGAGTGTCGGTGCCAGTCCACGACTTGCGACCCGAGCTGGAAGGATTAGATGACAAGTTTCTCGAGAAGGTAAGTTTTCTTTTTCTTTCTAGGGTTTATAGTGTCTTCAACCCAGCGAAGCTTACGGAAGTCACTACGCTCGTCGCCAAGTACGTGGACCACACCTCGCTCACCTGCGCCGTTGCCGCGAAGTACTTAGAGTACGAGGCGGCGAGGGCACTTCTGTCGTCGCTGGTGGCTGACGTCCGATCCGGAAAGCGGACGGAGAAGGAGTGGGACACCGACCTGGAGCTGGCGAACCGAAGCCTGGACCAGGCGATCCTCCAGCTGGACGAGGACAAGGCCGCGGCACAACCTGGCGCAACCACAGCTGGAAGGACGACCGCTCAGGGGGGGGACCCACCGCCAAGAGAGAGGACCCGATCGGCACAGGCCGACGGGCGAGGAGAAAAGGGAAAAGGTGAGAAAGGAAAAGGAAAAGGCCGAGGAGACAAAGGACGCTGGCCGAACACCAACCCTCGAGGCCCAAGGACTCATACGGAGTCCGATCCCGCCAGTACTTCTCATGCGGAGACCCGCCATGACCTGGCCAGTTTGGGGGAAAACCCCAATAACCCGGGCAGCCTCTCGGGGCTACTTGAGCCAAGTCATCTCGGGACACAAGAGGCACGGCGAAGTTGCCTTTAAAACCTGGTTGCAACCAGGTGTGGGTCACGAGGGAGCCGGACCGCCGGTTCGCGTGTCCTACAGGGCACACGCTGCAAATTCCTGGGATAAGGTCCCGACGGAATTGCAGCGCTATCGCAAGCATGTGGCGATCCAATGGACGTCCGATGGGCCCTGGGAGTGGCGCGAGACCAACGTGGCCGCTCACTCATGGGTTTACTTCGGCGACCGTTGGGACCAGCACCCGCGCAACATGCTGGTGTTCTTGGTCCCGCCACGCGGCGGCAGTGCCTTCTACGTTGGAGGCATGCTTCCGGATCTCATGGCTTCTGACCTGAAGGTCATGAAAAAGGAGACCGGAAAGATGTTTGAGGATTCTTGCAAGAACCTCAACAGGCACGACGACCTGCTGATGCAGGCCTTGGGGCTCCCGTCAGTGGCGATCACGGGCGACCCGCCCACGATCTTTGCCCTGGCGAGCTCGGAGTTCCAGCCCGGATCCCTTGAGAGGACCGGCGCTAAGGTGATCGTGCGACACCCTGGCTACCGTATGATCCTTCTGGAGGACATCGGTTGGCAGAAGCAAATCTCTAAAGAGATTGCTAAGATCCGTCCCGACCTCCTGCTCCTGGTGTACAGTTTGGAAGACCAGGTAGGTCTCACCCCGCAGGTACAGACCTGGCTCCAGTCCCTCTCAGCGTACACAAAAGAAGTGCTTGTTCTTGACAGCTTAGGCAGTGTTAGGTGGAACCTGTGGTTCAAGAACAGTGTCGAGGGTACTGAGAGAGAGTTTCAGTTGTTTCAGTGTAGGGGTGACCTCTGTGTAGGGACGTTTTCGCAGGCGATAGGTGAAGTCATGTCAAGTTGGGCGAACTGTGACCATGATATTCACTACTCACCTGTTAGCATCGACACAGTTGGAACACATGTTGGTTTTGCCGAAACCTTGGTACTTGTGTTGCAAGAGGGCTGTGTAGAGGACCACGTTGCTGAAGCGTTTCCTGTTGAGGCAAGGCAGGATGAGGTCGAACAATCTGGTACTCTAGATGCTATAGTGGATCCCAGAGATAATAGAACCACTTTCATGGATGATCTGGAACTGGCCGAGGAAGCAGACATCTTAGACACGTTGCCTTTAGCAGGGTTTCCAAAGGAAGAGTCTGAGAGGAGAAAGGCATGGTCTAAGGTGCCGAGGCGTGTTCGCTTGGGGATCAGGAGGTTGCACACCATGATGAACCACAAGCCTAAGGAAGTGCTAGTTCAGGTACTTCGTGGGGCAGGTGCTTCTGAGGAACTGGTGAATGCAGCTAAGATCTTCAAGTGCGAGTCTTGCAGGGTTAGTGAAGAGAAGGTTCGCACACACCCTGTGTCAGCTCCACCACCCTACGAGTTCAACCACACTGTTTCGGTGGACGTGTTGGAGACTGCAGACTCGACAGGTGCAAAGTTTAGCTGGCTGAACATTATAGATGTCGGCACAAGCTACCAAGTTGTGACCTTGGTCCGCGTTGGAGGCGGACAGCCAAGCTCAGCCAAGTGCTTGCAGAAGTTCATGCAGCACTGGGTTTCCCCTATTGGGTGGCCCAAGGTTGTTTCCCACGACCGTGGGCTATACAACAGAGGTGCGTTCGCGCACGGGCTGAGTAGCCATGGGGTCCAGATCCGCCAAGCCGGACTGGAGTCGCCCGAGCACATAGGAAAGTGCGAAAGGCACGGAGGCATCATAAAGAGAGCCTTCAAGCGTTTGGTCAAGGACCACAACGTTGTGGGCAAGGATGATGTCAAGGTGGCGATGCTCGAGGCGCAGGTCGCAAAGAACGAGTTCATGCGTGTCGGAGGTTTTAGCCCCACTCAGTGGGTGCTTGGACGCCTGCCCAGAGGAGTGGGGCACGTTTTGGACGAGGAAGAGCTGGGTCAGCTCGGAGTCCTGTCTGGCAGGCTGGACGCCACGACAGCCTTCGGCCGACAGGCCGAGTTCAGGCACACTGCCAGGAAGGCCTTCGTGCACGAGGACTGCAGCCGCCGAGTCAGGAAGACTGTCCTGAGGAAATCGGCGCCTCTTCCGGGGAAATACCAGGCAGGAGACCTGGTATGCTACAGGATCTCGAGAGATGAACACTCAGGTGTCAGTACGTGGAGCACGGTGAGTAAGATCATCGGCTTCGACAACAAGACTGTCTGGGTTGTTCACCAGGGTGTCCCTGTGGCAACAAGCCTGGCTCGACTCAGACCGTGTACGTCGGCTGAGGTTCTGGCGTTTCAAGTACTTAACCGGGGCAACATACAGTACGAGCACGCGGAGGTTGAACGCGAACAACAAAGGTACATTGATGCCACCGGGGATGATCTAGTACTAGACGACCCAGAAGAGCCACCGGACGGAGGGATTGGAATAGGTTCTCCGATCCAAATGGATGCAGAAGCAGACCCTCCAGAGATTGCGGCCGCTGCTCCAGAACGAGCTGTTCGAAGGAGAGTTGGAGCAACACGTGAAGAGTCACGGGCCGTGACTGTGGAGGAGCCGGAGAACGAACAGGTGGACCCTCCAGGAGGGATCCAAGAGCCGATGGCTGAGGACACGGCGGTGGACGCCGATGGTGAGGCCGAGGCCACGGAAGGCAGCGCAGCTTACGCCAGCCACTTCTGGACGAAACAGGAAAGAACCGTTTGGAACTCACTCCCCGGGGAGAAGGAGTACGAGGCCTTACGGGTTTTCTTCGCAGACCGCGTCGAGGACGACAAGAAGGTGACGCAGTGGCGCAAGCGTCGCAAGAACTTTACGTCCAGGAAGCAGAAGGAGAAGCACGGGAAGATCCTAATGTACCACAAATGCCCTGAGGATGTTCAGAAGGAACTGGACAAGAGCAGAGCCAAGGAATGGGCAAAGTGGCAGGACTTCAGTGCTGCGATCATTCTTGATGACGCTCAGTATGACGAGTTGATCCGTGAAGGACATCAAGTCATACCTACCCAATGGGTAGAGCTGGACAAGAACCACAACAAGAGGTTACTTGATCCTACCGTAGAAGCCAACTACAAGAGTAGATTGGTTGTTCGGGGTGATCTTGAGAAGGGTGATCCTAGGAGTGATAGCCCCACTGCTAGCATAGAAGCTCAGAACTTAGTGTTTTCCTTTGCGGCTTCTAGGAAGGTCAAGATTAAATCCCTGGACGTGACTAACGCCTATTTTCAAGGCGAAGAGATAGATAGAGTACTTCTACTATCTCAGCCCAAGGGAGGACTCCCTGGGCTTAAGCCCCACCAGCATATGCTGGCGAGAGCACCCATCTACGGCAGCACCGATGGTGGTAGGAGGTTTTGGAAGCGGCTTAGGAATTACCTTAAAGGTAAAGGACTTCGCGAGAACCGCATCTACCGCGCTTTGTACAGTTACACAGACGCCGATGGGATTGTGCAGTTGCTCTTGACGTCTCATGTAGACGATCTATTGTGGGCTTGTGAGCCGTCATGCGATTGGATCATGAACGATCTTATTGAGACGTTCAAATGTGGGAAGGTCGAGACCGGGAGCTTCAGGTACTGCGGGAAGGAGATAAGCCAAGACGAGGATTTCAATATCCATGTGACCTGCAGCGAGACAACGAGGAACGTGAACAAGATTCACGTTGACAAGAGGAGGCACCCGGGAGATCCCTTAACGGACTCTGACAAGACGCAGATGAAGAGCGTCGCTGGGTCCCTTGCTTGGGTTTGCAGGCAATGCCGACCCGACTTAAGCTATAGGGTATCCAAGATCCAGTCGGCTTCTAGCAATGGTACCGTCGCTGACATCAGAGATGCCAACAAAGCGGTCGAGTACGCTATTAGCACCTACGACAGAGGACTTGTTTTCAAGTCTGGGCTGTTGGACTGGAAGACACCAGGTGCTCTTTTGAGTCTGGTGATCACGGACGCTTCTCACGCGAATGAGTCCGAAGAGATGATCATAAATGAAATGACATCTGTGGAAGGACACCGGAGCCAAGGTGCAAGGATGGTGTTTCTTACAGACGGCGCCCTGTGGAAAGGGAACAAGGGTAGCATTCATCCCATCTTGTGGGCGAGCAACCTCGTTCGGAGGGTATGTCGCTCCACCATACAGGCAGAGGCCTACACACTTCAGGCAGGTGTGGAGGACGGTGACGTGCTGAGAGCAGCTGTCACTGACATCTTCGGATGCCTCGATATGAAAAGGTGGGAAGCTACGTCGGCCAAGTTTGTGAAGCAGATCTGGATGACAGACTGTAAGAGTCTGGAGTTGACGCTTTCGAATCCGAAATGCAATAAGCATTCGGACAAGAGGTTGAGCATCGAAATCGCGTCTCTTAGACAGGAGCTATGGCGCAAAGCTGGCGAGAAAGCAGGTGATCCGTTTTACGACGACTACAAGCCAGCGGATGATCAGTTAACTGACATCGTCAGATGGATTGACACTGACGTGATGATCGCTGATCCGTTGACTAAGGTCATGGAGCCGGTCAAGTTGGTTGAAGCTCTGAAAACCAACACACTCGACGTAGAGCAGCCGCTCGAGAGTGTCGTGAAGAAGCGCGCCAAGCAGCTTCAGAGGAGGTCGACGAAGAAGGAAGAGGACAACGAGCAAGACCGTTGATCCCTGAGCACGAAGTCTCACCACACTGACGCTGTAAGAGTCGCGGGTGTGAAACTAACCTGTTTTGCAGCGCGTACAGTGTGTGTACCTAGCGTTTGTACAGCTTTCAGACGTTCCCCTCTACCGCAGGCAGAATGATCCGCCCTGGGGACGGGACTAGCCCGCGCGAAGCGCGCGAAGGCGCGCGAAGCGCGCGCGCGAAGCGCGGGCGAGCGAAGCCGCGCGAAGCCGCGCGAAGCCGGCGCGAGGCGCGCGAAGCGCGCGAAGCGCGCGAAGCCGCGCGAAGCGCGCGAAAGCGCGAAGCCGCGCGAAGCGCGCGCGAAGCGCGGGCGCGCGAAGCACGCGCGAAGCCACGCGAAGCGCGGGCGCGCGAAGCCGCGCGAAGCCGCGCGAAGCCGGCGCGAGGCGCGCGAAGCGCGCGAAGCCGCGCGAAGCGCGGCGCGAAGCCGTGCGAAGCGCGAAGCGGCGCGAAGCCGGGCGCGCGCACACGCACGAAGCCTCGCGAAGCAGCCTGCGCGAAGCCGCGCGAAGCCACGCGAAGCGCGCGAAGCCGCTATAAAGCATCGCGAAACCGAGCGCGCGCAGGGGCACGCGCGAAGCCATGCGAAGCAGCCCGCGCGAAGCCGCGCGCGCAGGTGTGCGCACGCAGAGTGCGCGCAGGTGCACGCACGAAGCCACGCGAAGCAGCCCGCGCACGAAGCTGCGTGAAGCCGCGCGAAGGTGCGCGCACGCAGGTGCGCAAAGCCGGCGTCTGGTGCGCGAAGCCGCACGAAACATACCCAGATGCGCGCGAAGCATGCGCCAAGTCACGCGAAGCAGCTCTCGTGAAGCCGCGCGAAGCCGGCGCGAGCCGCGCAAAGCACGTGCGAAGCCACGCCAGCAGCCTGCATGCGCTTCGCTTCGCGCGAAGCCGCATGTGTATGTGCATGTGTGTCTGTGGTGATTTACATATGTATGTATTTATTATGTATGTATGAAATCCCCTCATCCGTTTAATAAAACGACGATCCATCGCTGGCCGCGAAGGTGCAAAACAAAACAAGCGAGCTCTGGATCTGCCTGCACAGGGAGTGAAGCTGACACGTGGGAGAGAGAGAAAGTGATCGAGTCTGTAGAGGGCAACCACATCATTACCCAACATAGCTCGGTGGGGTGAGCGACAAGGAACATCATCAAGATCAAATCCCCACGCAAGTAGTAGTAGCAGTAGTTGTAGTAGTAGCAGCAGTAGCAGTAGTGGTAAGTAGCACGACATCAAGGGAGCTGGTGCTCGCCTCTTCGAGCATATCAGTCATAGGGTCAATCGAGTCAGTTTCACACCAAGTGCGTGCACCGCGGCAATCGCCCGCAATGTGCTGAGCCCGGTCGCACGGCGTTCAAAAGTAGTAGTAGTAGTAGTAGTAGTAGTAGTAGTAGTAGTAGTAGTAGTAGTAGTAGTAGTAGTAGTAGTAGTAGTAGGGCCTGTAATCACTCACCTGGCATGTCTACATACCACAGACATGCGTCGGGCCGGGACGCAGCGCATGTCACCTTGCCGCCGGAGCTGCGCCGTCGAGTCGACGCTATCGCCGAACTCGTGCCTGCCGTTTTATCACAGCAGGGCAGCTACGTAGTCAACGGGCTCAGTTCATGTTGACCATACTAGCAGATCAATGTATAACACAGATGAGGAAATGCTGTGCCATCTGTGCCACAAGCAGGACCTCGCACGACACGAATCAGCATACACGCAGAGACAAAGCTCCAAGCTACAGCCAGCCAAAGCACAAGCATTCTCCTAGTTGTAGGTCTGCCAGCCTTCGTCATGGTGAAGCGAGCCGCGAAATGCATGCTGTGCAGCAAAACGCGCGCTCTGCGCGAAGTCAAGAAGGAAAGCCTGCTGGAGGCTGCGAAGGCAGCTGCGAAGAAGCCACTTCCGAGGCGGTGGGGGTCGACCTCGTTTGCATCGGGTCTGCACGTTAATTACCTGTTAGCTTACGTTGGAGTCAGGACAACAGTACTGTGAAAGGCCGCGGCGAGGGAGGTCTCTGCAGAGGCCGCCTATCAGGACTCTTTGCAGGGTTTAGGGGTCTTGGTTCATGGGTTCCTGTTGGAGGAGGTGTCATGTCCTTGGCATAATTCTGTCGTTTCTCAGCATCATCCCGGAAGACAGTGACGGGGATGTTTGATCTTGGCTCCTTGTTCAGAGGGTTTTGGGGTTTTGGTTCATGGGTTCCTGCTGGAGGAGGTGTCATGTGGAGTCGGGGTTGGCTTACTGTGAAGGCAGAAGCGTCAACATGAAACGATGACGGTCTAATCGCACTCGAAAACACATCAGCAGCAGCGCTTGTAACCTTACCACATTTACCATTTGCTTCGTCCATCCCGGGTTGGGCAGCCATACAGCGGTGACTTCTCATGTTGCAATCACGCAGATCTGCCCAACTCACTGCAGTTGATTCTACTGCTAAGAGCAGCCCATCCAAGCGCAGCACATGGCTTACGTCGTGCATGAAGCGCTCCGGCTCTTCTTTTCCGCGCTCCAGCTCAGAGGAACTTGCCCAGCGTCGGGTCTTCGTGGAAGACAGTAATTAACGCCGATGTTTGATCTTGCCCCCCTGTTCTACTGCGAAAGGTCGCGGCGATGGAGGTCTCGACAGAGGCCGCCCATCAGGACTCTTTGCAGGGTTAGGGTCTTGGTTCATGGGTTCCTGCTGGAGGAGGTGTCATGTCCTTGGCATAATTACGTCATTTCTCCGGATCATCGTGGAAGACAGTGACGGGGATGTTTGATCTTGGCTCCTTGTTCAGAGGGTTTTGGGGTCTTGGTTCATGGGTTCTGGTGGAGGAGGTGTCATGTGGAGTCGGGGTTGGCTTATTGTGAAGTGAAGGTAGAAGCGTCAACATGAAACGATGACGGTCTAATCGCAGTCGAAAACACATCAGCAGCAGCGATTGTAACCTTACCACATTTACCATTTGCTTCGTCCATCTCGGGTTGGGCATTGCAATCGCGCAGACCTGCCCAACTAACTGCAGCTGATTCTACTGCTAAGAAAGGGCAGCGCATGGCCTACGTGGTGCATGAAGCGCTCTTGCTCTTCTTTTCCACGCTTCAGCTCAGAGGAACTTGCCCGGCGTCGGGAGGAGGTGCTCGCCAGCTTGGGCAGCTGGTGCCAAGCACTCAAGGCTGGGTTAAGGTAACGATAATTATAATTACTTATAACCCCAATTAAGGTACTTATAACCTTATACTTTATAAGTCCCATGATCCTCCTAGGGTTCTCAGGTTGTTCAAAATTTTTTTAGAGGTCAACGGCGCCATATGGATTTCGGAACTACTTCGAGTCGACTACAGACCAACGTGTGCTTGCAAGCCGGCCAGCCTCGGTAAACGTCCCAAGTTCGGAGTATGCAGCTTCACATGAAGAATACGTTCGTTGAAACAACACTTTTCGCACATGGATGCATGCACGTGGGCTCTATATATATGCACGCACAAAGTCCCGCGCGAAACCCGCGCGAAGGGCGCGTGTGAAGCGCGCGAAGCGCGGGGCGTGCGAAGGGCGCGAAGCGCGCGAAAGCCGCGCGAAGCCAACCGAAGCGGCGCGAAGCGGCGCGAAGCCGCGCGGAGGCGCGCGAGAGGCGCGTGAGATGCGCGAAGCGGCGCGAAGCGCGCGAAGCAGCGCGAAGCGCGCGAAACGCGCGAAGCGCGCGAAGGTGCGCGGAGGCGCGCGAGAGGCGCGAAGCGGCGCAAAGCGCGCGAAGGAGCGCGGAGGCGCGCGGAGCGGCACGAAGCGCGCGAAGCGCGCGAAGCCCGCGAAGGTGCGCGGAGGCGCGGGGAGGCGCGCGGAGCGCGCGAAGCGCGCGAAGCCGCGCGAAGCGCGCGAAGGCGCGCGGAGGGGTGCCATCAGAGGCGCGCGAGAGGCGCAAAGCGGGCGCGGAGGGGTGCCATCAGAGGCGCGCGAGAGGCGCAAAGCCGGCGCGGAGGGGCGCCAAAGGCGCGCGAGATGCGCGAAGCGGCGCGAAGCGCGCGAAGCGCGTGAAGCCGCGCGAAGCGCGCGAAGGCGCGCGGAGGGGTGCCATCAGAGGCGCGCGAGAGGCGCGAAGCGGGCGCGGAGGGGCGCCAGAGGCGCGCGAGAGGCGCGAAGCGGCGCGAAGCGCGCGAAGCCGCGCGAAGCCACGCGAAGCGCGCGAAGAGGCGCCAGAGGCGCGCGAGAGGCGCGAAGCGCGCGAAGCGCGCGAAGGCGCGCGGAGGCGCGCGGAGGCGCGCGGAGGCGCGAAGCGCGCGAGGCCGCGCGAAGCCACGCGAAGCGCGCGAAGAGGCGCCAGAGGCGCGCGAGAGGCGCGAAGCGCGAAAGGCGCGCGGAGGCGCGCGGAGGCGCGCGAGGCCGGGCGAAGCGCGCGAAGCCACGCGAAGCGCGCGAAGCGCGCGAAGAGGCGCCAGAGGCGCGCGAGAGGCGCGAAGCGCACGAAGCGCGCGAAGGCGCGCGGAGGCGCGCGGAGGCGCGAAGCGCGCGAGGCCGCGCGAAGCGCGCGAAGCCACGCGAAGCGCGCGAAGGCGCGCGAAACGCGCGAAGCGCGCGAAGCGCGTAGGGCGCGCCCCAGGGGGACCATACTCACTGACGGAGATGATTTGCCACCCGTCATTTGAAACAGCACCCCCGAGAATGTTGTTGGGTGCATCTTGTCCCACGACACCTGGTGTGGCATACAACAGGTAATAGTCTGATTTGGTCGTTTCTTGTTCCAGAAAACAAGGACGCCATCAGTAACACTGGTAAGTGTCTTCGCGGTACCAAAAGTACCTACCAAAAGTACCTCTATATAGAGTGCATTGTTCAAAGCCAGAGCCTGGCAAAAGTCTGGATCTGAGGTGAGTAATATCTGAGACCAGCGCATCAAGGGACGGTGATGGCTTGGAGTGATGCAATGGCATCTCAGTCTTACTCGAAAGTGAATTTACTCTGGTCACAAGTGATCGTATTTTTGGATCTTGCAGTAGTTTCGAATCCTTGAGA